AAAAAAAAAAAAAAAAAACACTCAAAAGTGGGCAAAGGACATATCCTCAAAAGAAGACATACAGATGGCCAACAGGCATATGAAAAAATGCTCAATAGCACTAATCAGAGAAATGCAAATCAAAGCCACAGCGAGATACCATCTCACCCTGGTTAAAATGGCTTTCATAAAAATAACAGGGAATAATGGGTGCTGGTAAGGATATGGAGAAAGGAGAACCCTCTTACACTGTTGGTGGGAATGTAAATTAGAACAGCTGCGGTGGAAAACAGTATGTAGGTTCCTCAACTGAATACACACACACACACACACACACACACACAGACTATATATCCAAAAGTAAGGAAATTAATATAGTTAAGAGATATTTGCACTACCACGTTTATTGCAGCACTATTCACAATAGCCAGAATATGAAATCAACCTTAGTTCCCAGTAGATGAATGAATTAAATGTATTTGTACATAGTGGAATATTATTTAGCTATAAAAAGAAGGAAATCCTGTCATTTGCAGAAATGCGGATGGAACTGGAGGTCACGTTAAATGAAACAAGTCAAGCACAGTAAGAAATATCAAAGTGGGAGCTAAAAAGGTATATCTCTTGGAGGTAGAGAGTAGATTGGTGGTTACTGGAGGTCAGGAAGGGTGAGGAAGAGGATGGAGAGAGGTTGATTAATGGGTACAAATACACAGTGTGATAGAAGAAATGAAAACTGATCAGTAGGGTGGCTGGTTTATAATGTATATTTCAAAAGAGAAGAAAATAATTCTAATGTTTCTAGCATAAATAAAAGATAGGCCAGGTGCAGTGGCTCACGCCTGTAATCCCAGAACTTCGGGAGGCCGAGGCGGGCAGATCACAAGATCAGGAGATCGAGACCATCTTGGCTAACATGGTGAAACCCCGTCTGTACTAAAGAATCACAAAAAAAATTAGCTGGGCATGGTGGTGTGCTCCTGTAGTCCCAGCTACTTAGGAGGCTGACGCAGGAGAATCACTTGAACCTGGGAGGCGGAGGTTGCAGTGAGCCAAGATCACACCACTGCACTCCAGCCTGGGTGACAGAGCGAGACTCCATCTCAAAAATCAGTATAAAAGATAAATATTTAAGGTGATGGATATACCAATGACAGTGATTTAATCTTTACAAGTCATATGGACTAAATTATCACATGTACCCCCAAAATATGTACAACTAATATGTATCAACAAAAATAAGTACTAAAGAAAGGCAATTTGATAAACCATTAATCTGGGGCTTCCTTTTAACGTCTCTACTCCCTTAGATTCCCAGCACTTGAAAAATTACAAAACAGTGCTGGTGGATAGAGGCCCATTAGGAGAGACTTTGAAGCAACAAACAGTGTGGAAATGATCAAGGATTCTAAAAGGATATGGACTCTGTTCATTTTGCAGACACTGCCCTGACAGCTAGAAGGTACTAAACAGTGATAAGGGATTATACCCTTCATTCACCTAAGCGTGCAACTTACTGAAGTCTGGATTGTGCTTTGATTTCATGGCTTTAGGTGACTTTATTTCTGTGGAGAGTAAAACTGGAACAAACTTCAATTTGTGCTTGAGTCTTTTGCAGCTTTATTGAAAATACAAAGAATAACAAGGGGAAGAATTAGAGGTTATACGATTCTGTCCTGGTGCTGTACTAGAACAGCTTTCGGCAGCACTTACAGACCACTTTTGCTGTAGCCTCTGTGTAAAGGGTTATAGACAACGTGTGGGATATATCCACGGCAATGTGCAGAGGAGAGACCATGTGGGCAGCCTCTTCAGTAGCAAAGGAAAATAAGCCACAGGACACTAGAAGGGCTGCTGGAAACAGAAGCATGAAGGGGAAGTGAAGACTTAATAAGGTGAAGGCTGTAAAGAAAGTGCACAAGTTTTAGTTTAAGGGAGGGCAGGGCTGGAGGTGATTTATTTCAAGCACTTTGTAAAACACTGAACATTTAGGAGACACTTCAAAACCTAATACTATTTAGCCCTGCTGTAGCTATATAAAAAATAAACTCTAGGTTTCTCCGTAACCAAAAAGCTATCAGGCCCTTCCAATCTTATTCCTTCCCCTAACCCCTCCAGCTAGAAAGATACCTGGGCTGGTGTTATGGATTGGATTGCGTTCCTCAAAAAGATGCTGAAGTCCTAATCCCCAGTACCTATGAATGTGACCTTATTTGGAAATAGGGTCTGTGCAGATGATAAGATAGGGTCTTTAGGATGAGCCTTTATCCAATGACTGATGTCCTTATATTAATGGCAAAACCAGCAGTTACTTTTGCACCAATCTGATACAGGAAATTTGGACACAGAGACATGTACAGAGGGAAGATGAAATGAAGACACAGGGAGAATACCATCTGCAAGCCAAAGAACACCTGGGGCTACCAGAAGCTAGGAGAGAGGGTTGAAACTTATTCTCCCCCACAGCCCTCACAAGAAACCAACCTTGCTGATGCCTTCATCTGGGGCTTTCTAGCCTTTAGAACTGAGATGATTTCTGTTGTTTAAGCCACCCAGTTTATGGTACTTTGTTACAGCTTCACAGGAAACTGGAACAAATGGTCTGCAAAATAGGATGGGAGCGGTCGCTCACACCTGCAATCCCAGCACTTTGGGGGGCCGAGACAGGCAGATCACAAAGTTAGGAGATCGAGACCATCCTGGCTAATATGATGAAACCGCATCTCTACTAAAAATACCAGAAAAAAAAAAAA